GTCACATAAATATTTGAGAACTCTTCAGGGGTAGCAAATGTAAAAATGTTATAAAACTTTCTAGTTGGATATATATATATATATAAAAAAAACTCTTGAATTTCGTAAAGAATATCAATGAAAAGAAGCATGCAATGTTTGAAGGCTGTAGCTAGAATACTTTTCCTCCTGATTCATTTGGCGTTCCTTAAAAATCCGGAAAATGCAAAATTGAGAAAAATGAAAAAAAATAAAATTGTGTTTTTTTAAATTAGAGGCTGCATGAACGATATAGGATGCATACATCATGTACATATATCCTTCATGATTTAAAAAACAATTAGAAAACTAAGACAGAAAAGAAAGAAAAAGAAATTAACACACGAACCTAATAAATAAAATGCATAAATACAAACATTCTCTGAAAACTTTTCCTATGAGACATTTGTTTAAAAACAATCCATCATAAAGTAAAGAATCTCAATTTAAATAAGCATGCAAAGTTTCAATTATGTAGTTCCAAAACTATTCCTTCTGATTCATCAATTGATGTCAGAAAAAAATATATAATGAAAATGCTATATCTATAAAAGCTGAAAAAGACACTGAAACAACATTGGATGCATACACCATGAACACATTCCACTCGTTAATTAAAAATAACAATTTAAGAACATAGATATAATTGATAGAATATAAATGAATGCATTATCCCAACAACCCACATACCTCGAGCCCAATAAAAATAAGATGATAAAAACTTCTGAAGTTTTTTTATCAGACATGTAATAAATAAGATCAATCATAATCATTATAATAATAATAATAATAAAGTTCATTTCAAAAACACGCTTCATCCCCAAAGGCTCGAAGCGTGGTACAAAGTCAACAAAATACAAATCTATAATTTACCACATTTAAAACACACGCAACACTACAAAAACTAATTACTAGCATACAATTGCAAAGTCTTTCTAGCCACTTCAACCCCAAGCAACACAGCCATTATGCACTAACTGGAAAATAAGGTTGACAATCATCCCAGAAGGATGTAGAAGCTATAATAGAAACAACCTTGCAAATTTGAAGCATGTGGTAATAATACTTTTCCTCATAATACATTTGATGTCAGAGATAAATGGAAATCCTAAGTGGAACACTTTAAAAAGAGAAAAAAATTAAATTAAGCAATATTAGAAATATAGGAGTCAAATATAATGAAATTTAAAGCATTTCAATGTGAAATTATCAGGCAAAGGTGAAAAAATAAATATTTAAAAAAAA